CTTTTTTTTAAAGAAGGTGTCTTAATTAGTTATTTTAAATAGTATAAAATCCTGGCTGTCGATTCAATTTTTTCATGCTGAACTAGGAAAAAAACTGAGGTTGTCTTGGTACTGAGAATTTTGGAAACTTGTTTTTTTGTTTCTCTGATGTTTGACCTTATGTTGATGCCTTTAACACGGTTTTTCCCACCAACTGACATTTCACAAGTATTGTAGGTTTCCTGGTTTTCTGCAGTACTGGCCGGAGAAACAGAAAAATTATTTTATTTTACATGAATTTGCCCTGGAGACCGGATAGTTCCTTGTGCGCACAAAAAATGATATCCAGGTATTTTCTTACTCAGTTTTATAGGAAGATGGAAATTTTAGATGTCAGTTTAAAAAATATATCAAAAATGGGGAGTTGCATATACAGTACAAGGTGTGAGACCTTTTGAATGCAGATTCGGACATGTGCAAACAAAAATTGGTGAAAAAATCATTTAGAACTATTTTTCTAATCATTTCATGAAGTCTTTCCTTTAAAGTTTTGCTATGAGACATGTTTAACCACAAATAACTAAAAGGACCCAAATGTTGCTCAAAGGTCCAGCTGTTTCCTTGGTGCCATGAATCCTCTTGGGGCCCCTGAAACTTTTTTCCTTTCTTAAATTTGACTCCACGGAGCACAAAAACCCTACATAAACATGCACAAGTCTCTCACGTCTCTCATGTTTACAGCCTCTGGCCGATACCGATGCAGGGCATGCGCCTCCCCCACCTCCTCCCAATTTTATGAGATAGAATTTCAATCGTTTCTCCTTTTCAGAGCTCGTAAACGGTGTAATGAGTTTCACTGGCTTCAGCTACGTGGGGCTCAAACCGCCTCGAAGACCGCAGCAGTGTTCATAAAGATCACAGGGAATCCTCACCATCACACATCACACACACACACACACACACACACACACACACACACACACACACACACACACACACACACACACACACACACACACACACACACACACACACACTCCAGTGCTCACTTCTGTTCAACACATGCCAGCTTTGACTGGTGACTCCTACATTTGGTGTGAATTTCCAGGCCATTAATTTGAGGAACATCACTTCTAAAGGAAACTGCCCGACATTTGTAGTTCCTCTTTCAAACACTCTCTATTAAAGCCTCTATTAACCAGGCCACACCGCATAAATCACAGCTTAAAAACAGCACAAAGACACATGACAACAACATGCTCTCATGTCTTCTTTCAGCAAAGGTCTGTGGTTTGTACATCAAAACATCCAAACAGTTTTAAAAAGTCACTGTTTAACACAAACAGACACAACTTCTTCAACAACCTTGAAAATTAACTTCATTCTAAAATATTATTTGATGTTTCTGTTTATTTGCAGTAGACGTGGTTTTCATGAGTGTTAAACATCATGGAGGAAGTTGCACTGAAAATAGTTTTTTCCAAGTAGAATGGTGTAAGATATAGCAGGAGAATTATTTTGTTTCACATTTGACTTATAAAGAAATGCACTTAAAAATAAAAACACTGAAGAGACCTGTTTTATTAAAAATGAGTAAAATAATTAGTTGTAAAATAAGTCAACAAATCAAGCGGAGGAAATACATTTAGGATATGTGGTCATTTGGGATTATTTAAAAAACTATTTTACATTCACTGTAAACAAATACATGCAGTCTGCAAATTAGGTCTTTGGAAAAGAAGTCATATATTTGAATGAGCTTTTACACCAGGCTGACTGTCAGTAAATGTGATAAAAACAGAAAGAGGCACCCAGTTTAAACAATGATTATTTAGTCCCACCCCCTAGCCCAGTGACCGACGGTCTCTAACATCACGCTTTTGGCTGGGTTTGGAACACTTGGAACCACACTGAAGCAGGCAGTGGTGGACCCACTGACCAGCAAGAGCACCAGGATGTTTACCAGTAGCCTGACCTACATTGCAATCGGTAACAGCCCTCCCACCCCGAAGGGGGTGCGGGAGAGTTTTATTTTAGAAGACAAAGCTTTTCCATTCATCTAGTTATCCATCCTTTTCTTCACTTTTATACTCTCTGGTCTTAATTCTATCACCAACCTCAGCTGTACTCTCCATCCTACAATCCCGCCTGCAGCAATCTTACAACTGCCCAGTCCCGTGAGATTTACATTGGGTCCCGTGGGACGACAGCCCCGTCCATCTGTAATCAGCCTCCCGTTTATCTAATCCCCAGTATCTCAGTAACTGCCAGATCGTCTGTAGTAATTACCCATCCCTGCTGCTAAGCCTGGAGTGAGCTTCTTCGTGTTCTGTTCTGTCTACTTCACAAGGGACTTTGTCAGTTATTTTATTATTATTCAAAGACCTTTTTAGATTATATCTGCCAGCCTGCCGGCACCCTTGGGCCTTACCACATTACAACCAACTGTTGCACAAAAACGGGACTCTGCGTTTACGGGTGAACTAGTAGAGATCAGCTCATGCAAATGTAATTTCCCTCCAGACAACCCTAATATGAACTATTAGGAACAAATACAGAGAAAAAAAATGGCCTGTATTTGTTTAGCACCTTATAGGGTTGTACAACCCCTCAAAGCGCTTCACAACACAATTAATTCACTCATGTTTGCACACATTCACACACTGGTAGTTATGAGCTACGATGTAGTCACAGCTGGCCAGGGACATGCTGACAGAAGCGAGACTGCCAAACACTGGCACCACTGGTTTCTCCGACCACCACCAGCTGACAAGGTTAATTGTCTTGCCCAAGGACACTACAGCAACATTCTCTGCAAGGAGCTGGGAGTCGTTCCTACAACCTTCCGATTACTGGACAACCCGCTCTACCTCCTAAGCTACTGCATCCCCATTTTCTTCAAGACAGACCAATCAACTCGGTAAGAAATTTGTAGACGATTTTTGATCATCTTCTGTTCAAGATTTGCTTTATTAGTGAAAATCTTTTTGAAAAGTTATTGAAATAGTCATAAAAGTCCAAGAGAAATTGAGAGCAGTTTGTTTTTGCCCATAATTGGTTTATCATTTTCTCCATTTCATAATTTTTGCTTCTGATTTATGCAAATAAAATGTCAATAATTACATAGTTACCTCATAATCATTTAAGCAACATTTTAACATTAAATACATTTTAGTGTGGAATGGAATTATTTTGTGACCCCCAATTGGGGGCACTCGGGCCCCGCTGGTTAAACTGGTAGTTTTAATAACACCAGCTGGTCAGTAAAAAATGCCCATGTTCTCCAGAATGTCAAATATTTTGATACATTTGACTTATGAGTAAGTGACATTATACAGAATTAGGTCAACTTAGCTGTAATTTGTATTTTTAGGTATTTAAAGAATTTTCCAAATAATTTAAAATAAATGACACAACGTGTATAAAAATCACATGTAACCTAATGACCCCTGGCAGCTGAGATGGCTAATCTTGTTACAGATCAATGTTCTGCTGGGACAATCTTTAATCTGCATTGGGTGTCACTGTGACAGCTGCCACCCAGGTTCCTCACAAGGCAGTGGCACTCTAATGGGATAGCACTTCACCTAGTTAGATTATAATGGTTCCTGCAAAAACTGTCACTCCGTTGGACTTCCTAAATAGAACTCTGATAAGGCCTGGAGGTAGATGTGGCAACATCTGTGTGCTGGGACAACCCCTGATGTTCTCAGGTGGATAGCCTAATTGTTGGGGCTGATTTACGTATCCCAAGATATCTAACTGAAGAGCTGAAATGTTACCAGAATAACATCTTACTACAACTCAATGCTCCTGTCAGAAACTTGGGACCATGTGGTCACGTGGTTGCTACATTAGCACGTCATTGTCATGTACCATGACCAAATTAGTGTATTCGATTCCCTCGACGATACTGGGTAGCAGTGTTGGCTCTCCGTGCGTTTACATGCAGCCAGCAACCCTTTTAAAACCCGAATATTCACAATAACCTGGTTCCGCATGGCCATGTAAACACCGCCAAAAACGCGGATATGCTCATAACCGGGTTTTTAAAAACCCAGTTACTACACCTGGGGTAACCCTTTTCTACCTGAATGTTTGGTCGTGTAAACGCATATCGGGATATCCCCATCAAAGCGTGTGTTCTGCGCATGCTCTGTTCGCAAGGAATCTTGGTCTTTTGAGTAGCGAGACGTCTTGTATGCGCCAGAACACCGGAAGTAAACAACAAGTTGGGAGCAACATGGCGAGTCGCGGCACAGCACCACACTTTTGGGGTGACGAGGAAACTAAAGCACAAACAAACGCGGTCGCTATCTCTTCCGAACTGGGAAACATGTTGTTTTCACGGATACCGGAACAAGTAGAACCGGAAATGATGCATATTGCGTCTGGATGTAGTCCATACGTCCTGACGCTACCCCAACGCCCGCATTTAAATCGGGTTATGCAAGTTAGGGGTAACTCTTTCTGTTTATGCTTGTAAACGGGTTATTCTGATCAACTCAGAAACCCGAATACTGACCTTAACCCGATCATAACCCGGATATTGGCTGCATGTAACCACCAGTTTTACCACAAACACCCCTAAAAATCCATCCATTAGAGGAGTTCTAAAGGTTCAACTACTAAAACCTTGATATGACTTTTACTTCCACTAAGTAGTCCAGTTTAATCGTCTTTTTAGCACATTCGTTGCTACTAAAGTAAAATCCCATTTGTAATGTTAAACCTGACCACTTTATGCCCATTCCTTCCTTTCCCCCTCTAGAACTGTAACTTGAAGCCACATGAGGTAGGTATTCAAATATCCTGAAAAGGACACCTATTTGAGTCGTTTTGTCACCAATTCCTTGAACAAAACCAAAACTAAAGTAAGAACTATGTCAATATAAAGTTTGGAACTTGCTTTATGTCCAGCAACAGACTGTGGAAATGTTTTTGCTTGTAACAGATATACCCAACTGGACCTTACAGTGTTTGATAAAAATGAAATATTTTCAAAAGAGAAATCCACCAAACCAAACAACAAGAGGTTTATTACATTGGGATACATCAAATCATACAGGGCAAGAATTTCTGTGTCAGTAAAAACATTTCTAATGAAAAATGTACACTTTTGTTGCAAGAGAAGTCCTTCCCCTTCATTTTGAAGCACAAAGATTTTGGTTTTTAAGAGAAGCGAATGTACGCCTTCTCACATTCATTTTACCTAAAAAATGTGTGTGAGGGGACACACCCTTCGCCCTCAAGTGAATGTGCAAAAACAGAGTAGGACCAATAAATGAGGGGAAGACATGAAGGCAGAGTTTTTGGCCTTACAGTAACCCGAACAAACCCCCTGAAACTAGCAAAACCAATGAATTACAACTGGAATGAGCTTAAATCAGACAGATTTGACTGAAGAGGGTGATGAAGATTTGGCCAAACATGCTGCTTGAGTTTTGGTGGCTATTTCACAGTGATGACAAAGTTGCTTGTGACTGGTTCCAGTCCTTCCAGTTTGAGGAACACAGTCTACAGTCACGACAGTTATTCAGGGATATTTTTGTCTTTGTTGGTATCAATAGATAAAAGCTGCTTAAAATTTAACAGTTTGTTTAAAATTCCCGAATACCAGCCTTTCCCCAACTTTTTGGACTGTTTAGGCATTTCACAAGTCTTTAAAGATGAACCAGACCTGTTGAGAAACAATGGTTTAACGACGCATTTGAGGATTTTGTGTTTTATTGCTCATCTGTCCTCAAGAGGCTGAAATCACAGCAGGATTGCCGGGACCATGAAACCAGACTCCCCCAAAAATCTGTTTTTCTATTTCCATTTGACTGATGCCTCCCTTGATATCGAACACTAAGGGTGCATTTCTGTCCTCCGCTTTAGAAACCAACAATGGACATACCATAAACTTTCAGTCACACAAACCCACATTTTTTTTTCAAACAAAAGGAATTAAAACAACGAACATTGTACAGCAACCACAACAACCCTCCCATCCCTTATTAAACTGTTTTCCCCTGGAAACACTCAACTAATGTTTTCCAAAACCCTCTTGTTCTCTTCACCCCCCTCAATCGTTCACCCAATCCATGCCTCAGGGCTGGAGGGGTCCAGTTCATATTGTCTTCATTAGAGCTGCGGAGCGTCGATCTGGTTCGGAAACATGGTGTGTATGTGTGTGTGGAGGAGGCTGAGGTTGCCAGGTCCTAAACCACATTCTTTAGATTCCCTGTAAACAAGACAGAGACAGAAACGAGAGGGGTGAAGGAGGTTACTTGGGTGAATACACAAACTCATACGAAAGATGTAGAAGGAAGAGGAGGGTCAGTTCTAATTCATTAAGTTGAAGCAAAATAGACACCAAGAGAAACCGTAGATGGAGGCTATATGAAAGAGAAACACATATAAACACACACGTGTGCCAATGAAAATGCAAAACAACATCTGGTAGAGGTAGGCCCCGCCAGTCCCGAGGAAATAAAAGCATGCAAAAGAGGAATCGGTATGAAAAGACAATGCTGCGAGTTCATTTGCATGAAGGTAGATCAATTTCCATGACAAACTTTCACACACACACACACACACACACACACACACACACACACACACACACACACACACACACACACACACACACACACACACACACACACACACACACACACACACACACACACACACAATTGCTGCACTATCTCAACTGTTTGATGGTTCCCTTTTGGAGATGATGTCTAATTGTTAATCTTCTTGTTGTTGTGCTAAACGGCCTGATTGAGAAAAGCAAACGTGTTACATGAGTACTCTGCTGGGATGAGTAATTGCTCTGACAAACTGAGGGAGGATGTCCTGTTTGTTGGCCATTGTGGAGCTGTCAGTGGAGCCCTGTCATGTTCTGCCCATTTTGTGGAAACTGGAACAACAATGACTCCTCTGACTAAACTTGAGGTTTAAACCTAAACTAGGATGGTGAATAACAGTTGTTAGACCAAAGAGATGTTGAAAATGAAGAAGCCGTTTTAATTTTAAGGAGGAATCCCTGTTGTAGTACAGTGCTATGAAAATGAATCCACCCAGATGAATGATTTCTTCTGTTCTTGTTTTGCCATCATATTTAAATGTTTGAGATCAGCAAGCAAATTTCAATACCAGAGAATATTCTTTGGACCGATGAAACAAAAGTGGAATATTCTGGAAGGTGTGTTTCATTGTGTCAAACAAACATTGCTTTTCAGAAAAAGAACATCACGCCAGCAGTCAAACATGGGGGTGGCAGCGTGATGGTCTGAGACCGTTTTGTTGCTCAAAACCTGGATGACTTGATGTTAACTTGATGAAAACAGAACAAGTATAGCTTTTCAGATAAAAGATGAATCCCACTTCCTTAACAAATTCCTCAGTTTTTAATTTGAAATTGCAACAACAGCAGGGAATACAGTCGGTAAAGACGGCTCTCCCTGGCCCTGCATCCAACATGCCTCCATCTAAAAGGGCTAGGTTATCCAGAGTCATCTCTGTAGTTATGCTGCTATAGGCTTAGACTGCTGGAGGACATATTGACCACTTTCTACACTCAACTACTTTCTTTTACAGTATGCTCTTTAAAGGGACATTATGGAAGTTTGACAGCCAAAACATGTATATAAATAGTAAATTTCTTCTTCATACATTCTCCTGCAATGCCCTGGTCCTGTAGAATGAGCCCTGGCATTTTTACTGTGATTGCCTGTTTTTCTGTAAAATCACAGAAAAAGAGAGGTGCTCGGGTCGAGCAGGCTGCTTCATGCGCGTTCACGCTCAGGCATAGCCCGTAGCATTTGCTATCCGTAGGTTTAGTGTTTGTCGCTGTTCCTAACGCCTAGTGACAAAGCTAGCTACATTTCTGAGGACCCTTAGCTACTTTCTGTAGATCTTTCTTCTAGATATTTCCTGCAAATTAGCAACAAAATAGCCATTTTTGCTCCGAACCGTTCTCTGAACGTTGTTTCAGCTGTCATCAAGGATATAAATGTTACAGATACAAACAACGTCACTGACACATTAGCTCACCTAGTAAGACGTTGGGCTCTCGTGCAGAAGACCTGGGTTCGATTCTGGATGTTAACATAGTTTACTTAGAGTTTCTTTTTTACATTAATGGTATATTTTTTTACAATAAGATGCCCAAATATTTATTGGAGACTCGCCGAACGGCATTGAATTCACAGATAAAAAAGATGTGGGTTCAACTTTCATTTTGGAACAATTTTTCAAGCAAGGGAAGGGAATGATCTGAGCATGCAGGAGGACCGACCCATCTTAAACCTTTGTCGGCTGTGCTGAAGAGAAAGGTACAGAACCAAATTATTTAATTAATTAGCTGCACGTTCTCCTGTCCTCCGTCCTCAGACCCACAGACCATGTGGGTTGGTACTAATACTTAAAGCTGCTATAGTAATTCTACAGAACAAGCTAGGTTTTGAATGCAAACACCATCATGGCACTCACTCCTCGCCTCGGGTATGTTCCCTGAGGTGCATCTACCGGAATAGAAAACCAGCCATTGCCAAAGGAAACGGGACAGTGCTAAACATCAGTCACCGTTTATCTAGATCCAAACGTATTTTGTTGTTCTTGACTTTAAATGGTGTTTTTCTTTTCGGGACTCTGGTAGTATGTCCTAAAGCAGAAGTTGTAGCAGCCGACAGTTTCTTCTCCTCTGATGTTATTGAGTGGAGAACCTCTCACACCAGTGATGTTTTGTTGCTAAATATACAAGTATGTAATGAATAGAGGTCCCAGGGACATGCAGAACTGCGGTGGTTTGGTGGGACCAACATCTGGGTGGTTTTTAGACAAATGGGAAAGAACTAGGGATGAGTGAGAACACCACTATCTGTATCTGTTCAACCCTCTAAATTATTTGTACTTGGAGTGGGCGGGCCTAAACCTGAATTGGGAGCGATGAAGTGGGCATGGCTCAAATTGCATCGCTGACTTCAGGACAGGTTCCAGCCATCAGGCCACAACCACTGGAACTCCCGCATCACCAGCTACCTGTACCATCCATCAGGCTCAGCCTGGGCTCTAGGCTTAACTATGGCAGCACAAATGACTTAAAAAAGAATAAATGGATTCTGATGAGAAAATATATGAACTTGACAGTAAAATAGATGAAAGTTTATTTGATTTAAAAATAAATAAAAATTATTATGGAGAAGATCAACTAAATAGTGGGTTAATTAACAAGGATTCATTATCAATCATTCACATAAACAGTACAAGTTTACTTTCCAAGATGTCAACAATAAAGGATTATTTACATGCATTTAAAAGCAAATTCAAAGTCATTGCCATTACTGAGACTTGGCTTAATGATGACGGCTGTGTCTCAATTCAGGGTCTGCATCCTTCGAAGGACCCAGCCCACCCGGCCGACGTGGGCTGCGTCCTCCGTCGGCCGGGTAGACCGGATGTTAACGGCTGTGAATTTGGACAGGCCTAGCCTTCATGAACTCCCTCGGCGAACGTTCCGTCGCCTAGCAACCGTGGAACCGCTGGGCAGAAGGGAGAAGGAACTTTAAACGATGGAGCTCGACGTTTTATTTAACTTTTTAACCCCCGGAAACCCAAATTTAGAAAACAACTGCAAAATCTTTTAACCTTTCACATGTTGTTCTTGGAGGCCAGATAAACGGGCCTATTTACACATTTTAACAGCCAATAGTGTTGCAGAACTGAACAATAGGACCTATTAGCAATGTAAATGTGGTTTTAAAAAGAAAAAAAAATATGGGGAAGGTTTATTTTTGTAGACTTAAATCTGATGTTGTAATATTACAACCGTGGGTCTCTGGGGTTAATCATTTCCTTGACTGTTGGAGAGCTAATTCAGAGAAAATACTTTATAGACTAGCTGAGCCTGAGCAAAGATGTGATAATAGTTTTTAATACTTTCTAAGGGTCTTAATTTGACCAAAACCGATTTATCACCTTTTAAGACTTTTCAAGACCCAGCAGATACCCTCTAGTAAACAATTCTCATTTGTAAATAAAAATAAAATTCAAGAGTTTAATGCAGAACTGATTTTATTTAGATATTTCTTTTATATGTACATGTTTAATCTTTCTTAACCATTTTTTCTAGCAAAGTAAAAAGCTGTCAAAGTTCTCCCTTCTCTCCTGTGCCCTCTGCTGCTCTGCCTCCCTCTGCAGCCTCATGTCCTCCCTGATCAGATCCAGAAGCTGGTCATCGCTGGCACCTTCCCCTGGATGCCCATTTTCTCCAGAATAGTCTAAACAAACATGTAAGAAATAAAACAGGAAGAGAAAAGAGGACAACGGGTTATTCCTTTCATGTTTTCGCAGAAAAAAATAAACTCAAATGAGTTTTTAAAATATGAGATGTTATTGTACCTCCATGCCACAGCCGCCAAATACTTTGCTCCGGTGATCATGTGGTCCATCTTCGCCCTAAGCTCAATAAAGTCCGTGGTTTTCTCTTTTGTTCCTAAAATACAAACTTCTATTAAAATCAGGGGGAAAACGTAGCGGGAGAAGTACGACACTGAGCGGCCGAACATACGAGCCGAGACCGCAATACAAGCACTTTTACTGTAACATTTCTAACTAAAATAACGTTCATGTATCACAAAAAGTCCTTAACCTAACAGTTTTCAAGTTTATACTGACATTTATATGCGCAATCCTCTCCGACAGCTCCCGCTTCACTGTCCGCCATTGTTTTTAAGTTTTTCTGCCGGCCGGGCCGCAAGGCATCTTGGGAAATGCTACCTGTTGAAGGATACACCTGACCCATCCTTCATTCAGGCGAAAAGAAGGCCGCATTCGTCGACCGCATTTGAAGGAGTCTTCGAATTGGGACAGGCCTAGTCGCGGCGCTGTGACGTAACCGGCCGACGAATCCGGCCGACGTAGGATGCAGACCCTGAATTGAGACACAGCCGACATGATGGCTGAAGTACAAATGGAGGGTTATGAACTTTATTTTGTAAATAGAATAAATAAAAGAGGTGGTGGGGTTGCCCTGTACATTAACAATGATTTAAAATGTAAATTAGTTGAGAAAATGACTAGGATGGAAGATAATGTAATGGAAATGGTAACAGTGGAAATTAGCAAAGACACGTCCAAAAGTATAATAATCAGTTGTGTATACAGAGCACTCGCTTCTTGCATCAGGACATTTACAGAAAAAATAAATGAGTTAGTGGATTATATTAAAAACAAAAC